GAATCTGGGACCTTTCAGTCTGCACGCCGACGCTCTAACCACTGAGCCAAACCGGTTAGGGCCTGAAACAATTTTTAAAATTTGTTTTAAAAATGAGACATTTGGCACACACTTATATAAAAATCATAATTTATTGTTTATCTAAAATCCAAATTTAACTGGGCATCCTGTATTTTTATTTGCTAACGCTGGCAATCCTACCTGGAGTTCCCCCTTTCCCCTCTTCCCCTTTCCTGGCATCCAGTCAGAGCAGGAAGCTTGGGTAACAGTGTTGCATCAGAGGCGCAGCCTGCACGTCACAGCCTTTCCTGAGGGGCCTCTTGCCCCTTTGGGTAGCAGCCTCTCCTCTAAGTGGGTCCTTTGCCCCTAAAATCTGCAGGTTGTTCTCTTGGCAGAATCAGGGTTCCAGGTTTGGGGTGCTCTAAGGACTCTGCGGCATCCTCTATTTCTTTCAGGGTTTTGGCTGCCAATCCCACGGCTTCTGCTTTGGGGTCCTGTGACCTTATTTCTCAGCTGCTTCTCTAGCTCTCTCATGGGGCATTGGAACTTTGTCAGATCTCCCCCAAGTCCCACTAAGCTGAGGGAAACTTCAGGGTGACCTCTCTCTCGCCAATTCCTTCTGGAAGTTCAAGGATAAATATATTAAACCTTCATACAGGAGTCACTAAATGGGTTCCATCCTGGGGGCCGGCCCTGCCCTGGCTCTTAACTAGCGCAGGAAAGAATTTAAGAACGAGTAGAGTGAGATCCAAAGCAAGTTTTACTTAGGGAAAGTTCTATATATATAGAGAGGCCAGGAAGCCGGTTTCCTGGTTATAAGTCTGACAGGGTGTCACTGCAGAAGTACATGTCTCAGTGGATACCGGCAAACTCATGTCTGAGTTGTGCACTAGGTCTTGTTCCTAATATGCTCCATTCTGGAAGTGCCATACTGCCCCTTCTACTTGTGGTGTCAGTTTTTTTTAAAATTGTTATTGTAAAAATAAATCTTTATTGTTGAAAGTATTACATATACCCATCACCAATGGATCTCTTCTAACTTACCTCCATCTCCCGCTCCACGCCTTCACCACATAAGAACATAGAGGTGCATACATTATTTCTGATCGGTGTTTTGGATTTCTTAGAGTATATTCCTAGAAGTGGGATCACTGGGTCAAATGGTGCTTCCATATTTATTTTTTTGAGGAAACCCCAATACTGTTTTTCATAATGGCCGCACCAATCTGCATTCCCACCAGCAGTGCACTAGGGTTCCCTTTTCTCCACATCCTCACCAGCACTTGTCATTGTTGATTTCCTGATGGTAGCCATTCTGACAAGTGTGAGGTGATATTTTAATTTGCATCTTTCTGATGATCAGTGACTGAGCATTTTTTTATATGTCTCTTGGCCATTTCTATGTTCATTTTGGAGAAGTATCTATTTAGATCCTTTGCCCATTTTTCAATTGGATTGTTTGTCTTTTGTTAAGTTGTATGAGTTCCTTATATATTTTGGATATTAAACTTTTATCAGGTGTTGCATTGCCAACAGTGCCAACTATTCCCATACAGTGGGCTCCCTTTTCATTTCTTTCTCATGGAGAGATTTGGTGTTATACCTCAATCAAATGATCACACTTCCTTCTAACATGGATCAGACATTATGTGCTAATTCTTAATGTGATGCAATAAGAAGTATATTACATCACCTAGGTCAGTGGTCAGCAAACTCATTAGTCAACAGAGAGGCAAACCGCGGCTCACGAGCTGCATGTGGCTTGCGAGCCGCGGTTTGCCAACCAGGTGGTATAGTTAGTTGCTAAATATGTTATACCTGAATCAAACCATGAAGAGACAGTTAAATCAATTACAGAAAATTCTATAAGATAACATCTGAATTCTTTTTAAAAAGTCAGTATCCTGAAAAACAAAATCAAAGGCAGGGGGACACTTCCAGTTAAGAGACATAAAAACGATATGCACATGTAAACCTTATTTGGATCCTGAATTCAACAAAAAAAATCTATAAAACCTATTTTGGGGGGCCATTGGGGAAATTTAGGTGTGGATTGGAAATGAGGTATTACTGAATTAATATAAAATTTTAGATGTGATAATGATATTATATACAGGAGAGTACACTTATTCTTAGAAGATGCATGCTGAAATATTTAGGGACAAAGTATCACATCTTCATCTTATTTTCAAATACTTCAGAAAAATTAATAATAAAACCAATGTGGAAATGTTGACAACTGGTTTATCTAGGTAAAGGGTATACATAAAAGTTTTTGTCATAGTATTATACTTTTCTGCAGGTTTTAAATTTTAAAAAGTAAAAAGTTGAAGGAAAATTCTTGGCTCTTCTATTTGAGTCGCTCATTCTCAGATAAGTTTTTTAATTCATTCAATACAAATTTATTTAGCACCTACTGTCACACACTCTTATAGGTTACCGGGGAGTGGTAATGAACTAGAGAGATCATTTGCTAACCTGTTTCCTCATTCATAAGTAGAGATGCAGTAATAACACCCCCACATTAGCAAATGCTTGTTGTGGAGTAGACACTCAATAAATGTTAACTGTTACAATTCAACTTTGTCTTTTGTTGACCTACTTCCATCCATTTGATCTTTGGTCCTTCAACTGTACTTTAAATAAAAAGGCATGATCCTCCATCTTATGTATTATTCTTATTCTGTTAATATTATTATGCATTTGAATTTTTGGAGACAAGGTATTATGTTAAGTCAAAACAAAGATAAAGTAGTTAGGGGTTATATTTTTCAAATTAGGCTTGTATATATGTGATTATTCTAAGGTTTAAAGTTTATATTCATATAGATTTTATTGATGATTATGTCCTGGTCTAAAGTTGGGTTATAAGCTAGAATCAATTAAAAAAAGCTTTCTAATTTTTTTTAAAAAGTAGATACTGAACTGATTAAATACTAAAAAACATCGGAAGTTCCAATAATCTTGTCTCTTTTACAAACTGTGTATATTTAACATGTTATTTTTTTCTATATAAGGATTAAGAGCACTCCTCCCACATTACTCCACCCACTCATGTTTTCAAATGTTAATGGCTTGGCCTGATAAACATGCACGTCATTCTAAGCCCATACAGTAAAATTTGAGTTTCAAAACTTCTCTTTCAGTGTAGGCTGAGATCATAGCTCATAACTTATCACACCAAGAATTACTTAAATGCAATAATACTACAAAAACAAAAATTTAAATTGATAGGGATGACCCAATAATTAAAAGTAGTAAGTGATACATTTGGGTGAAGTGTATTTTCAAGTGTTTATTTAAAAAAATAAAAAATAATATTTCTACTTTCTAATTTTTTTATTACAACTTTTGAGCATACCAAAAACAATTATTCATATATTAGAATTAATATCAAGCATACCATAAATCTTAGGAGTTTTACATTGCATTTCAATACTTGACTACTAACAATATAGTAAATTGTTTTTATTATATAATTTGGGTAGAATTAAAATAAATAACACAAGTAATTTAATATTTTTTATGGAATACTTACTATGTTTCAGGCTTTGGGAACACAAAAATAAATAAATGGTCCCTGCATAAAAAATCTCACAGTTTAAAGGGGAGACAGCCAGATAAACAGAAAAATTTAATGTACTGTTGCAGCTTTGAGAATGGCATGCACAAAGATCTATGGGGAACCTTCAGAGGGCCACTTAATCCAGAATGGTCGTAGAAGTTAGGGATGGTTTCCAGATCAAGATGGTAAGTCTTACAAAAGAGGTTGCCAAGAAAAGAATGAATGATGGGTGATAGGAAGAACATGCCTAAAGAGGAGGTTGCCAAACAGTCTTAGAGATTGGACTGCCTGATCTTTAAGGCCCCTTCAAACTCTAAGAAGATCATAAGAGACAAGCAATCATTACCTGGTTGATCCAACAAAAAGAATTTGTAGAGAATGAGGAATCTTTCTCATATTTGCCTATTTGTTAAACACTGTTTTTCTGGATTCTTATTCTTCATGCTATAGAGCACAGTGTAAGAAGAGAACACCATCCTAACTAAAATGTTTTTTAAGCACCTTCTACGATGGTGCTGGCCACAGATTCAGAATAAACAATCTGGTAGAGTGTATACTAGGACTCCTACTTTTAAGAAAAAGAGAACAAACATTAAATTAAAGGTTACTGGGAAGCTATAAACTTTAACAAAGTCACGTATTTAGGGTTCTCTGAAACAATGTATATATATATTTTTTAATGTGGAGAAAACTAAAAGGAGCGGTCCTTTGTCGTGGTTATCTATGAGTAAAACACTAGATGGTGCTATAAGATGGGCAGAAAGAGAGGCTTGCTAGGAACAATAGAATGGCAGTCCTGATGGTAGTTAAGTATTCTGAATATTTTCCATAAATTTTCAGTCTCTGAGAGTAAGTTTTAGCCCCATGATCAGATTAATTTGAAACTAAACGACAAACTTAGTACATTTTATAATGGTTTCAGTGTTTAACAGTTCAATCTGATTTCACTGAAATGGAAAACTTAAAGTTATTGAAATATACATTTACTATACACTTAAACATATTGCTATTAATTTAATTTAGGTTATCATCCCATAAGCCAATGGTAGTTATAACTATTTAATGATTTCCAAGACAGCTTCTTCAAATGGTTTTTCATGAATTTTTGACTTATCATTAATCAGAAAATGCCAAACTCTATTCTTTTTCAAGTACCACAATAAACACAAATACATGAAACAATACATTTTGAAATTTCTCTACTGGTACATTATTTTTTATATAAATTTTATATAAATTTCATGATTTTTTCACGTTACATTAAAACCAGAAAAAATATTTCTTACTAAAGTGCCCAGTAAAAACACAGCTTTACTTTTACAAAATTTTCTACTTTTAAACATTAAAATTTTTAAAAAGTGAACAACAACAAAATGAGTGGATAAAGATATACCTTTTGCAACCTAAGAGTCATTTTAGGTTTAAATTCTCACATTTATGAGATCTGTTTGTGATTTGGTCTTTTCAATTCTGCTTCTAGAATTTCGCCCCAGGTTTCTGCATCCATTGGGTACATGATTGATTCTGGTAGGCTAATAGGAGAACATATGTAGCTGTATCTGCCACTTAGCCATCTAAGTTTCATTTGACTCTTCTTGTAATTCCTCAGTAGTATGTCCTGAAAGAGGCAAACCAGCATCATCACAGAAGGTAGTAGGTTGCTGCCTGGGGAGCTGAGTTTGTTTGAAACCAGAGAAGATGATTGACAGGGCTGAAAAGAAGATTAAGTTTTTATATTGATTTATACATATACTACTCAATGTGTGTGTGTGTGTGTGTGTGTGTGTGTGTGTGTAAATATACATGTATATGTGTATATATTCAGTGTGAACCATAGAGTTTGCTGGGGATTTTAGATAATAGGAAGTGAAAAGAAATACTCACTTTACTTCTGGTTAACAGAGGAAAATGCCATAATTTTAGATTGAAAAAAATGTTTAAAGGATGGATGGGAGACAGTGTGGTTTGCAGGAAAAGAATCATAATTCAACTTTAAGTTCAAAAGTCAACACACTCTGTCTGTATGTCTGTATGTCATTCTCTATATGAAATCCTACCTCATCCAAGCAGAAAGTAGAGTTTGGTTCAAATCTACCACCATATTGCTAATAACACTGCAGACCACAATAATTACACTTACCCTCCAGGAATAACCGCTTTTTCGATCATCATCTACTTCTCTTTTGCAGACAGCCCGTACAGCCAAGCAATGAGGTTTCCATAAGGAGTCATTGTTTCTTATTGTGTCAAACCAGCTCACGCATGTCATTGAAGCCCTGCACAAACTCTGAACGTCCAGCTCACCGAAAATGTGTAAAGCAATTTCTTGAGGCAGCCATTTAAAGAAGTTATTCTGATTCATTTTTTTTCCTTCTCAGTATCCACAGAGTTCAAGTCTATATCGGAAACTCTTGAATTATGGTTCCTCTTGGAGTTATTCTGCATAGCTTGCTGTTTTAATTATCTGCATAGGTAACCGAAAGGTCAGAGTTTAAACCTATTCAGTCTCTTCAGATTAGACTACGGGTCCCACTGTGAGCCAGGTAACTTTTTGGGCATGATTTAAAAAATTTTAACTTTCTTGACTTGAGCTTTTCAATCTGTAACATGGGGCCAATAATGCTCTTCACGTGTATGTTCTTGCTAGGATTAACAGGGAAAATGTGTGAATCATCTAGCCTCACTTCTGAATTACATGTTGGAGACACTCAATAAATGTTACTTCTCTTCTTCTTTTTAATGTTTTTAGTAAATGGGTTTGCTAGTAAACATTTGTCTTCCTGCTTGCTCCCAAAGAACATTATCTAAAAAAAAAAAAAAAAAAAAAAAAAAGAAAAAAGACTGATTTATTGAATTTAGTAGAAATGCCTATTGTGAGAACACATTCCAACTATTTATTGAAAATACCTTTAAAAATGTGTAGGATTCAATTCTATTAAGCTCATTGTCTGTGGGAACTGATGCCTTGTCATTAAGGTCTTCACTTACAATTTACAACCTAATCATAAACCTGATGGGCATTTATAGTTTATATAAAAATTACTTGTCATCTTGTACTTAATGGGTAGGTGCTCACAGTGGACACAAATACTATCTGAGATGGATAAGACGTTGAGGTCAGGGTCACAAAGTCTCAAATATTTAATTCCATGATGAGTGTTTTAGAAATGGCCTTTTGAAGCTATCCTACTTGCACAATTAATTATGAACCAGGGATAATAGTCACTGAGGCTATCAAGCACCAGTGACTAAACTATAATGTTTATTATTCAGTTAGATATAGCATATAACTGATGATTGTGGTGGTGAACTCACAATACAATATACAGATAATATATTATAGAATTGTACTCCTGAAACCTAATTTATTGACCAATATCACCCTAATAAAGTTAATAAAATATTGAAAATAAATAAATACACAAAAACTAAATTTGTACCTTTATTTCTACCAATTACTATTTTGAAAGTTTTTTGTATAAATATAATGAGAAGTTAAACTAATGCATATATAAAGTTTTTTTTCCTATCTGAAAAAAAAAGTCCGTTCAGATAATTTACCTGAGGTGCATAGTACATGCTTACAAAATCAGTTGAAAGCATGGAGCTATTTTTGCATATGGAGGCAGCTTATGCTTACTTAAAATTAGTTTATTTCATTTAGCACTTCCCTGAATAATAGGGATTGATGGTGTTGGAGGAGGGTTTGAGATACAGCTAAACATTTCTTTAACTTAGCTCATGACAACTCCCTTTCCAAATGAGTTACCTACAGGTTCTGGAACTAAGGCCACAGTTGCTCCCGTTCAGTTGGTTGTTTATAATCCCAAGGAATATTGGTGGTGAGTATTTTAATGCCTGTATTCAACAGAGGACTTCCTCCTCCTAAGGGTTTGGGGAAGTAAAAAAGCAACGTGGTAAAAACAAGTTTTATGAGTCATCCCCAAGTTTTTGCCATGTACCTACCCCGCCCCCATCATCAATATAAACCAAAGCCAAACTACGGTATTCTTTTTTTTTTTTTTTTTTTTTTTTACAGAGAGGAAGGGAGAGGGATAGAGAGTTAGAAACATCGATGAGAGAGAAACATCGACCAGCTGCCTCCTGCACACCTCTCCTACTGGGGACGTGCCCACAACCAAGGTACATGCCCTTGACCGGAATCGAACCCCGGACCTTTCAGTCTGCAGGCCGGCACTCTATCCACTGAACCAAACCGGTTCCGGCAAACTACCGTATTCTTGAAAACAATTTCCTATTAGGAGATCGTTACCATTTGTTACTACTTCCAGGATCTCACTGGGGAAGAAAATGCTCCTTCTCTTTAGTTACTGCACAAGAGGCAGAAGGCTTTTGAATTTAACAGTGGGGAGGGGGGGAGGTTACTTTGGTGAGGTTCCTAAAACCCCACCAGACATCTTTCTTCTAAGTCCAGTTTTGCCTGGATGCCTGGAAAACTGTCCCCTTTCTGCCTCTTCTTTAAGAACCAACCTGTGGAATCGCCTCTCGAGTTAGGGAAGGGCTCGCCCCCTTTCAGGGGTCACTCTGAGGGAGATGGGTCCGGAGACAGGACGGACCTAGCCGCGGGCGCCTCCGGCTCTCCGGGAGCCCCCGCCCTGTCCAGACCCCGCAAGTCGGAGAAAATGACCCCGAGCCACCTTTCTTGCGTGCCCTGCCCCACGCAGACTGCAGCTGACAGCTCAGAGAACACAGCTGACAATAACAATTCCTCAGAGAGGAGGCAGCCCTGGCTGCGCCCCGACACAGCCGGCCAGATGCAGGTTGGAAGGGAAGGGATGAGCTTACCTACTGGCTGGTGCCCGCTTCTCTGGCGATTCGAATCCTCTGCCCACAGAATCCCATTCCCGAGCCCCCTGGCCCCGCCCACTCCAGCCCGGCCTTGTTGACTCTGATTTCGCGTTGACGTAGAGAGGAGCGCGCATTGCCTTATGGGATTGGTAGTTTTATTAGGGCACCATCCGCGGGGCCAGGAAGGAGAAGGACGGCGCTACGGACTACAAGGTCCGGCATCCTGCTGGCCAGGTGGGCGGTGGGCGGTGGGCGGGGAAAGGGGACGTCTCACTCAGGGGCTTTAAAGGATAGTTGCTGTACAGGCGAAGGAGGAATCCCCGGTTGTGTCACTGGTCGGAGTGGAGAGGCGGGACTTGGCACTGTCGCTGGGGCCCAGCTGCGGGAGAACTTGACAAACCCGTCCTATTCCAGCTCCCACCCCGCCCGGTGCTTTTCCTGGGCCGGTCCAGGCTCCGCGCTGTTCCTGGAAGGCGGAAAGGACTGCGGGGACCGTGTCCTTGCGGAGGGGCCTGGTCCTCGCCGCCATGTCCGGGGGCTTTGAGCTGCAGCCGCGGGACGGCGGCCCCCGGGTGGCCCTGGCGCCCGGGGAGACGGTGATCGGCCGCGGGCCGCTGCTGGGAGTAAGTGTGGCGAGGGCGCGGCCTGACCCAGAGCCCCGCAGCGAACCTTCTGGCTTGTGAGGCCCTTTCCCGGCCCTGATCCACGCTGGCCGGCCACGTCTGGATTTTAAAAGTTTGGGGGCAGCACGTTTCTCACTCATCTTGAATCAACTCACACAGGTTTCCCTTTTGTTGCCGTTAAAAAGCACCGACTTGTTTCTCATCATGATAATCTCATCCGGTGGCTGGCAAACGGTGGCCCTGGGTCCAAGGCCAGCCTGTTTTGGGATGGGCCTGTGTCCTAAGAATGGCCCTTAAGTTTTAACATGGAAAATGTAAACAATCAGGATCTGTTAGCCTTTCTGAAAATAATTGCAACAAGTACTCTGGCTATTGCCTCTTGGCTTGACAAACCACAATATTTGCACTAGTATCTGGATCTTTATAGAAAATTTGCCAACCCCTGAATTTATCTTTTGAAGTTTTTGGCCTGTTTTGTGTGACTGATGGCATCACTTTTATTGTGATAGTTTTTCAGTAGCCACGTTCTTTAATCCTTTCAAAACCCATTATCATTATTATCCTTATGGTGCAGATGAGAAAATTGATTTGTAGATCAGTCATTTAAAGACCACAGGTAAGATTTGGATACAAAGTGGCTCTACACTGTTTAAGCGGCCACCCTCTTTGAGATGTTGAAGAATTAGAAAAGTGGTTTGTTGCATTCTGAAACTTTGTAGCTCTCCCTTTCAATATGTACTAGTACATGCATATTTTCTTAAGAGTCAAAACTTCTGTTTTAGTGCCCACTTTGTGCAACACATTTTGCAGACTCTAGCGCTGTGGGCATACACATATGAGACATGGGTTGATGCTGTCCAGTTTTCTCTTGGACGGTGGAGACAAACCTGTGTCAGTGAGCTTATGCCAGGGAGTAATGAGTATGGACTGTTATCCTGGTTAACCTCCAGTGTCTAAATGGAGCCTTTGGTATTAGCCTCAGAACCTTCCTCCAAGCAGGAAAAGTTGTGAGAAGGAAGTCAGTCCTAAAGGTGTGTGTGTGTGTGTGTGTGTATGCATGTATGTAGTAAGGCTAAGTAAGAAAGTTGAAATTCACCTGTTGTTTGTTTGTTTATTTATTTATTTATTTATTTATTTATTTTAATCTGGCAAGTAATCACTTAAATGTTTAAATAACATTGATACTTTTTGGCACAATTTATTAAGCTGTACAAACATTTGAAGGAACTAACTGCCCGGGAGGTTTGCCCTCTACCTCCCCTTTTCTCTTCCTTCTTTCCTATATCACTCCCTCTTCCCCTCTCTCTTTATATCTAGGAACTTAGCAGAGTATGTGCTTTATCTAGATCTTTTGACACTTGACTAATGCGTTTTGATTTGCTTAACAAATTATATCACCAACACAGAGTTCTTTGGATCTAGTTAAAAGATGGATGACTTTTAGGTCTATATTTTATAAATACGGAAGTTGCAGCCTTTCATCATTTTTAGTTTATTTGTCTTATAGGTTTGTTATTGTGATATGAGCCTATTTGGCTTCTGTTTTTGAAAATGGTAAGGAGTAGAAAGTCATTTATCTGGTCTGGTTTTGCTTTTTCCTTTTCAAAGCAAAATCCAGGGATGGGATTCTATTGCCAAATTTGGCTGGCATTAGAAGTGCTTATGAACAATATTCTACATGCATTGAAGGGGAAATGTGAGGAACTAACAAATCGTCTGTGGTTTTTAAGATTTTGGAGCTGAATGAGACATGTTTCTTCTCTGTAGTGGTTAAAACTCAACACGAGGGTTGCTTTTTCAAATAGTAGCCATTCCAGTAAGGTTGGGTTTGTTTTTTACTTTTTTTTTTTTTTTTTTTTTTTTTTTTTTTTGTAGTATGAGAGAGCAAAGACTTAATTTAAGTGGAAAAACTCAGGAAGTTAATTATAAATTTACATCTATCTGAAATGATCTATAATAAAAGTATAATATGCTAATTAGATGGGAAAGCTGAACGACCTTCTGGATGTCATTCCAGACATCCTTTTGGAAGAAGCCACAGCAGCAGGGGCTGAGGCAGAGGCGGTGAGGGGCAATCAGGCAGGCAGGAGAGCAGTTAATGGCGATCAGTCAGGCATGTGAATAGTTAGGGGCAATTAGGCAGGCAGGCAGTCTAGCAGTTAGGAGCCAGCTGTCCTGGATTGTGAGAGGGATGCTCTACTGCTGGGTTAGGCCCACAGAATTGGGCCTAAACTGGCAGTCAGACATTCCCCAAGGGGTCCCAGATTGTGAGAGGATGCAGGCCAGGCTGAGAGACTCCTTCCCCCGCCACTTTCCATGTATGAATTTTAAGCACGGGGCCTCTAGTTAATAATAAAAATGTTTTTTTGAACTGATTTAATTAGCCACATTGTTTTAGAGACAAGTTTCACAAAACTTTATGGCCACACAAGCACAAAGGTTTATAAAACAGTCTTGGTAACAAGGATGTTTATGTCTTTACAGTGGTAGGAAAACCCATATATAACAGAGCCGAGTGAAATTTAATTTCCTGTGCTCTTTGCTTTACTGTGAGTCTTCAGTGAACCCAAGGTCTTTGTTTACTTTACTTTGCTAGGTTGGAATTATGTTTTAATGATCCATACAAATTAAAAGCCTTTACAACAGGATGAATCTCCAGGGAATTATCCTGGATAAAAGCAGCTAGTCCCAAAGGTTACATATTATATTTTATTTATCTAACGTTATTGTAATGACAAAATTATAAAATTAGAGGACAATTTAGATTAGTGGTTGCTGGGGTCAGAGAAAGGGGGGAAGGAAGCAGGAGGAATTTTGTGGTGATGGAAGTATTTGTATCTCTACCTTATTAGTGTCAATATCTGATTGTGTTAGTGTACTATAGTTTTACAAGATGCTACTGCTTTGGAAAAGTGAGTAAATGCTATGAGAGATCTTTCTGTATTGTATATTTCAACCACATGGAATCTACAACTATCTTAAAATTTTTAATTAGGAAAATGTTTTACAATACAGCATCTGAAGCAACATAGTACCTTTAGGTGAAACTATTTGCTTTATGGTTTTTCTTTTATGAAAGATGATTAGTTATTATTCTCTTAAATGAAAACTACTGGCTTATTCATTTGTCTGTGTTTTTTTTTTTTTTTAAAAATATATATATATATGTTTTTAATTTAAATTCTTTATTGTTGGAAGTATTATGTATGTCTCCTTTCATTGTCTCTGCCGCCGCCGCCCCCCCCCCCCCCCCCCCCCCCCCCCGCCCACTAGACCTCTCCCTGGCTGCTCCCACCCCCCAGCACATGCCATTGCTCCCTGGTGTCTGTGTCCATTGGTTATGCTTATCTTCATCCATACAAGTCCTTTGGTTGATCATTACCTGCCCCCTCCCTCTCCCCAACTTCCACCTTTCCCTCTGAGGTTTGATGGTCTGTTTGATGCTTCTATGTCTCTGGATCTACTTTTGTTCATCAGTTATTTTTATTGCTTTCAGGGAGGAAAGGAGAAGGAGAGAGAAATAGAAACATCAGTGATGAGAGAGAATCATTGATCAGCTGCCTCCTGCATGGCCCACACTAGGGATCGAGCTCACAATCTGGGCATGTGTCCTGACCAGGAATCAAACCATGACCTCTTAGTTCATAAGTTGATGCTCAACCACCGAGCCACGCCAGCCAGGCAAAACTACTGTTTTTGATTTTAAAAATTTCTTCTTCTGTTTTCATAGTAGGAATTAGATGACATTCCTTTTTGATCTATTTTCCTCCAGGGGAATAGGACAGCACCAGATATCTATCTAGTGAGATTCCCTGAAGTAATTGAATCGACTGCTTTAATTAAAAAGAGGAGGTCCCCAGTTGGTGGAGGTGTCATGGACATTAGCGTGGACTCTTCAAGTGGCATCAGTTTACCACTTGTAAGAATGCTGTAAGTGTCCAAGAAAGTTTCTACAAAGTAACTGCTCCTCATTCTGGCAACTCTGTACTGTTCCTGCATGTTGCGGAATCTCACTGGCTCTCTTGGAATGCTAGTCCTACCTTGTCCAACAAGGTTTATTCCTAAGGTGTGCCGTGCCAAGCATTCCTAGCTGCTAGCTTTTGGTCACTTTCTTAATTATTGAGCCCATACATGTCTGACACATGGTCTGGTTTTTCCTGTTCTGTGTCTCAACCTTTCACTCTTCCAGTCCTCAAAAAAGGGTCTATTTTTAACTTAGGGTGAAAAGGATATAGAGTTTGGAAGTGCGTTTTAACAAAGAAGCAGTGGTACCCATTGTTCTAGCTTAAGGAGCAACATTCATGTATTAACATTCTTCCTATTTTGTTGACTAATATTTTAGTAAACTCAGAAAATAGTTGACGCATATATACTAGAGTCAGATGGGAGGGATAAAAGAGAAACAAGTCTTTACTCTCAAGAAACTTAAAGTTTAATAGGTATGAGAGACATAGACGCAAGTAACTAAATGAGTCACAACCTCAGGTGGGACTGAGATAGGCAGGCAACTTGAGTAAGTGAACTGGAAGTAAGACTTCTTCAGTATGTCAGTGATTATGAAGTGTTAGAATAGGTAGAATTTTGGTCGGTGGAAAGTGGGTAGTAGGGAGGGAAGGTCCTTTCAGACTAAAATAATGTATGATTTCAGCCTCTAAGGTTTGAAAGTGTAGGCATATTGGATAATTGGATAAGTGCTGACTAAATTGTGGGATAATCATTACAACAATGATTGCATTAAATTTTTACAGACATTTCTTTTATAGCATCTATTCATTTTCTTTCTCTCTTTTTTAAAGGCTTTGTTTTGTGAAGCAGTTTTAGGCAGAATTGAGTTGAAAGTACAGAGTCCCATCTACATCTCTGCTCCCCCTCAGTCCTACTTCTCAGCCTCCCCCACTATCAGCATCCTGTACCACAGTGGTATGTTCTATGAACTTATATTGTCATGTCATTATTGCCCAAAGTCCATAGTTTACAGTAGGGTTCAGTCTTTATGTACA